ACTAATTACAAAATTATTAATCACTTAAATAATAAATTGATTGTACACAGATTTTTTTATAAAATCCAAACTTTTTGTTTGTTATAATACCATCTTTAATAATAATTGATACCCTATAGAGTTTGGTAAAAGTTAATTTCTAATTTAGTATTAGTTACCTTAAAACCGTAATTAAAAGTCATTATTAATGACTCCCCAATAACTGAATAATGAAGGTTTTAAAGTTAAAACAATCTTTGTAATTAATATTTATTAATACTGTAATCTGTAATACGTATCTATGATTTCACATACAGACAATATATGTATGTGATGTATTATAATAATATGTATTAAAATGTAGTATAATATTGCCAAAAATATAATCTAATATCATTATTTAATAAATTCTGTGTACCTATCTTTAACAATTTGATTTAAATTATAAGTATTTTTTGGAACGTCACTGCTTTGTTTGGTGAGGCTTACTGTTCCTAGAAATTTTCGCCACTACAGTTGAAACATACTATATCTTTGTTATATTTTTTAATTTCACTTTCGGTTCGTTATATTATACAGTAGTTTCTGTTTTGTTTATATCAGCTGTTAAATCATATAGCTATAGTTAAATCGTATATAAGCTGAGCTAAATACAAAAATTTTAAACGCGAGATGACATTTTTAGACTAGTAAAACACGGACGTAAACACACCTGCTATTGAAATACAAACGATACTAAACGTCAATTGATTTTACAAACATGCATATTATATAACCATGATACTATGAACTAAAGATAAACCCACGCGCACGCGATCAGTCTATCTCTTTTGCACGTGTGACGTCACTTGGCGACAAATATCACCAGAAATGTTCTGTTTTTCATGGAGTTTTGTCAGATTTAGTATTGTTTTATCGTTTATCTAGTACGTTGACAAATAAATGTGTGCACTTTATATAAAATATATTTCAGAATATTAAATTAAAGATAAACTTTTATCGCCAAGTGACGTCATGCGCATCGACGTACAAAATTCGATTACGAAGTGGTTTTATCTTGGAAGTCATAGTATCATGATATATAACTATGCGTTGGTACCGGTGGACCAGTCTCACACCCGCGTAAAAAATTGTAATGTCTGTGCGTTACCGGCTCCCAAAGCCCGGTACATTTTTTTCTTTTAGAAATATTTCAAATCTTAAGACACGTAAAATGCTGTTTTAGCATTTAACACAAACGAGTTAATGTCAGTTTATATTTTACTTATTATTTTTAAATAAATTATAAATAATGGATTATTAACAAAAACTTTTTTTTTTTAATTTAGATTGGTCTAATAGTTTTGGACGCAGTATACAGTTTTTCATTGGCATTTGTATTATACCTTTTGGTGGAACAGCCCTTTAAGAAAATTGCAAGGATAATACTTAATTTAGATAACATCAAAAATGATGAAGTGGAAAGCAAATCTGTATAAAACTAAAACAGGAGGACTTTTTTGTAAATCATTTCTTATTAAAATTAATATATTGTTTATTTGTATATTAAAAAATTATGATTATTACATTTTAATAATATTTTATTATATTCTACTGATAAATTGTAGTTTTGTATTTTACTTTCACCTTTCAAAAAATATTTTTTTTTGATTTAGGTAAAGTTGTGCTTCCAAACTGTAGTTTCTAATTTATATACTGAGTGTTTCATTAACATGTGTCAATATTTTAACTTTTCAACATTCAAAAATATGATCTTAAGACAAATTATTTAGACAACGTACCTGATGTCCAATTGTTTTCTTAAAATAGGTATTTTAAAATAAAATTTAAAAATCCAATATTTAAAAATTAAATTTTAATTCCCCGTAGCAATTTGCTATAATATTTTGCAGCCAGTTCAAGTGGTTTGTAGCTATCAACTTTTGTCATAATCATTTATTTTGATATTTTACGTGACCACAATATTTTTAAAATAAATTAAATACTCTCTTTTAGTAACAATAATAAAAAATGCTTCTTTTAATAAATGTACCTATTAATTGTTAAACTATATTCGAATGTTAAAATGTGGTTTTTGTTGATTTTAAATACAATTCAGAAACAACAAGAGCCAAAAGAAAAAGCAATCACACAGCGGTGTATACAAACTTAAATGGGGCGAATGTCCAAAAACTTACATCAGTCAAACTGATAGAACTTTTGTCAAACGTATAGCAGAACATAAAAGGGCTTTCAATGATAAAAAAACCGACTCTACGTACGCATTTTACCTTCTAGACCATAATCATTCTTTTAATGAAGAGTTTCAAATTCTTCATATTCAAAATAAAGGCCTTAAGCTATCTTTATTAGAATCGATGGAAATCGACAACTTAAAAAATACAGACATAATTCTAAATGACCAGCTTGAGAAAAACAGTTCTCCTCTTCTCAAGTTATTCAGTTAAAGAATAAAGTGATATAAGGTTGAATGCTCGAATAAATGAACTTTGATAATATAAAAGGCAAATATCGAGCACAGTATTAATTTAATCTTGCCCAAGTACTTTCGATCACTAGATCATCTTCAGGGACATCTGAAATAAGCCAAGAAACGTTTTTTTTTAATAAAAAAATTAATTAACTTTATATGAATTAAAGTTATCATTAGAAATTTGGAACTTAATACTCTTAAGCAAATTGCTTTTAATAATGGTTATGATCCTTACATTATATATAAGCCTCTAAATAGAGCTAAACTAAAAATTGCAGAAAAGCTTGCATATTCATCACAGTTTTTTCAACATAATACTTCAAAAAACATCAGATATTTCTCCTTCACTTATATTAGCAGCATTTCCAATAAAATATCTAAACTTTTTACTTCTATAATTGATAATATCAAAATTTCGTTCAAGTCACATAACACTTTACGTTCCTTCTTAATCAACACCAAAGATAGAATGAATATACTTGACAAAAGTGGTATTTACAAATTAAAATGTGATGATTGTGATGCCTCTTATGTAGGTAGAACCATTAGAAAGTTATCCACTAGAGTTTCTGAACATTTGAAAAGACCAAACTCTTCAAGTTTTGGTCAACACTTATTATCCAGCAAACACAATTTAACATCAATTCTGGTTCATCTATCTAACATGACATTAGTAGAAAGAAAAACTATCTGGAGTTGGATTTATTGGAAGATTTGGAGATTACAAGGGAAACAAATGAAAACTCTCACTGTCTTAATACTCAAATTAATTTAAATTGTACTAAATTTAAACCTATTTTTAAAAACTTTATTACAGTTTCACCTCGTAGATGACCCAGCTCTGCTGTTTAGACTTTCTGCACTGAGTATATCCATATTGATTTTATAGTTCTACCATTGACTGTGGATTCAACTGAACTACTTGGATTATAACCCATTTACATATTTTGCTTTCAATTTTGATTTTAATTTTTAGTATTTTAATTGCATAGTCAGATTTCTTCTTTTCTACAGTACTGATAGTGCTTGGTAGACCATTTTATTGTAGTCAACTATCCACTGTCTAATATATTGTTTAGTCTATTTCTTGCATCCATACTTTATGTCGACTTCAGTTGCCCTCAAACTAACACCCTAATTATTATAGACAGATTTGAGTGTGGAATCTGGATTATTCAATCTACTTAAAAAATATTCTGTATAATTTTATATTTCATCAGTTGATTTCCTATAGTAGTGTCAGTTGGACCTTTGGTCAATACTTAGTTTCATATAATTTTGAATGTTGCAGATCACATATCTATGATTGTAACTGCCCACCCAAGCTGTCATTTGTCACATGTCACCTCAACATTTCCGTTAGGATAGACCGTGAGCCATTCTGTCTCCGGCTTCTATAGACAATGTAGCATCGCCTATTTTCAAAAATTTTAAAGTGTTTGTTTGTCCTGTGTAGTGTGTTGTAATGTTCCATTTTATGTTTATGACATTTTACTTTTATCGGATAGGCCGCAATTGACGAAGTAAGTCTATAAACTAAAATCACATAAAAACTTTTATCAACCATAAACTTCGAGTTTTTTATCGAAGTTAAATAATTTTTTTATTTAAAAAAAACGTTTCTTGGCTTATTTCAGATGCCCCTGAAGATGATCTAGTGATCGAAAGTACTTGGGCAAGATTAAATTAATACTGTGCTCGATATTTGCCTTTTATATTATCAAAGTTAAAGAATAAAGTATAAACACATACCAAAAATAAATCACTTGAAAAAGGCACTCTGGTCAAAACAGCTGTCGAGATAATAATTTAAAATGGTTTTTTTGTAAATGTTGAAAACAAAATTATTCATTGTTTTATTGTTAGAAATATCTATTTGACCAGTGTTAATAAATTTAATACACAGTTTGGTTGAATTTAAATAATTTAATAAAGATATTAGATTGGAAGTCAGCACAGTTTTTAAATTATCACTTATGGCATATGCGATCGTTTGGTTCTGATATATGGGACAATCAATAATTATATGTTTCACTGATAATGTAGTGTTGCACTTGGTACATATCGGGGCGGCCTCCTTGTTAAAAATATGCTTGTATACAAGTATTGTACGTTCTATTCGAAGTCGGTTGATTCGAGTAGTACTGCATTATTTCCCAGGGAATCCACTTGTTCATTGCCGCTTATTTCCAGATGAGAAGATACCCAGATTTCATCTTGAGAAGTATAGTGTAAGTTGTATATAGCTGTTTTATTCCAAGTAATGCGCTCATTGAATCAGTTATAATACCAAATTTGATTGCAAGGATAAAACCACATTTTTTCATGGTCTGGTAAATTGCCGCCGTAAGTTCTCTGGTATATATGCAAAAGTTTGTTGGAATTTGTATGGTGAACTTAATATTTTCGGATATGGGCACATAATGCAACATGTCCTTCATCACATTTATGGTACTACCGGCTCAGTGAAGGTGCCGATCGAATTGATGTCTACTCTAGTAAAATGCTCAAAAAAGAAACACTAAGAATACAGAATAATATAATTTAAAAAAAAATTAAAACTATTTATTAGTGTAAATAAAAACATGTTTCATCGCAAACAAGTTTTCAATTAAATAGAATCAATATTTTTGCGAATTCACAAAATAAAAAGTATTAGGGAATAAATATATAAATAAGTATTATCTAGTCTTCGTCCTCTTCCTCCTCTTCTTCTTCCTCCTCCTCTTCTTCTTCCTCCCCTTCTACCCCAACGGGAAGCTCTATCTTCGGCTTGGGTAAGTGATCAATTCGCCATTGTTCTTCCTCTGCTCCAGTTGGATCTAGTATCTCCATTATTTCAGGTCCAATTGGATACTCTTGTTCAACAGGTGGTAGAGGCACAGGCGAAAAATTGCTTTCCATATGTTTTAGTCCAAAACCTGCAAACGTTTTTATGTAGATTTATATAGATATATCAATATATAGATCTTCGGCAGAATTGATCAATACACAGATTGATCGCTTTTATGGATTAAAGAAGTCCACTTTTTATTCCGCGACCAAATAGCTAACAGACGTGACCCTATCCAAGGTTTTATGTGATAAAGAAAAACACAAAATATATCAAAAAAGAAACCCAATAATTTACGCCAAACAGTCCGACATAACTCAGAACTCTTCCACAAATTTCCCACAAAAGAAGAAACATTAGACCTTCAATACATAAAATCTGGCAAGAAGCCTAGTTTTGATGAAATGTATCCTCAATTTATACCATATTGCGGCTAAAGGACAAGAAAATGGTTGGTGGCTTTCAACTCACGGATTTTAATAACTGGAAACCTACAAAAACCATTTAAGAAAAGCAAAATACTTGCTTTATTGAAATCCACTAAACTCCACGATAAGTTAAAAGCTTTCGTCCCACAGCATTTATCTTAAACATGATAGGCCCACAAATTCTTGAAAATATCCTACCAAAACAAGCAGATTTCAGACTAATCGAAGCTGTGCAAATCAGGTGCTAAGGTAAACTACATATAGAAGCAAGTTTCTAAAAGCAAAAAGGGACTGCTCTGTTTTGGTAAATCTGACAACTGCCTACGACACATGGAAGGAGAAAATCCTATATAACCTGGGGAAACTAATTCCATGCCAAACAACATTTAAACTAATAAACATCATGCTCTCGAATCAATAATTGCAGTAAATTCACGGCATGACAATTTTGATATCACTCAAAACGAATTGACTATAGACCTAAACAAATTATATGAATATTTCTTAGAATAACGTCTGACATACAACTTAAATAAAACTGAGGTAAGCTGTTTTCATGCAATAACCAAAAGACTAAATCAAGAATTAGAGGTCAAAATGAAGAATGTCTCACCGACCCTGCCCAAAATATTTGGAGGTACCTTAGACAAGACTTTAAAAACATCTAGTAATAACTGACAAATAACTATAAATATTCTTATCCAGAATCTTTTTGGTACTAGCTGGGAGCATCTATGGACACGCTACATATGTACTAAGTTTGCTCCCAAATAGCATCCACGAGAAGATAGTGGATACGTAGCTCAATATCACAACGAGAATAATTAGAAGCTGCAAGCAGGCTACTCTACTATTACTAGCTTCCTACCATCAGCCATATACCTCGGCCTTCCATACGAAGACAAGAAGCTTTGATAAAAAATATTGGAAACGTTTAGCATCTAACGGACTTAAATTCCAACAGCTTGCAGCTGATGATTTCAATTTATCCTCCCTATGGTACGTAAATAAGGCTCGCAACGCCTACAACATGCATTAACAACATATAGAAATCCAGGATTTACCAACTAAAACGAAACTAAAAATCTTCAACACAAATGTAAAAGCTGTATTACTGTATGGCTGCAAAACGTGGAAGATATCAGCACCCATAGTACACCAATTACAAGTTTTCATCAATAGCGCGTTACGAAAAATCCTTCGTATATTTTGGCCTAACCGAATCTCCAATGAAAATTTATGGAACCAAAGCATCCAAGAAAATGTCATAAAGCAAATAAGGCGAAGAAAATGGAGATGACTGGGCCACACACTCCGTAGACCGCCAAATGACATTGCCAGGAACAGCGCTGGATTGGAATCCCCAAGGCCGACGGAAAGTAGGCAGACCTAAGGGAACTTGGAGAAGGACAGTACTGGACGAAGGGAGAAAAATGTGAAAATCCTGGCTTGAAATCAAAGCACTAGCCAGAAATAGAGTTCGCTGGAGACACTTTGTGGAAGCCCTATGTTCCTCTTAGGAATCTTGGGACTATATATATATATATATCCCTATGGTACACGCTGTGGACTGAAATAGCCCCACTCGAAGAATCTAATCTTATTGACCCAGTTCAAAAGACAGGTGGCTTTGTCCAGTCAGGAAACATACGGAAGAGTCCTAACTGAATTGGAATGGGACATGCAGTATACACATATAACCTATATAAATTGAGAAAACGTTACAAATGTGGTGTTCCAGATTAATCCAATACATAATGGAGACCTGTGAATTGTTGGCATATCGAGGGAATCCAAAAGACTGCTTCTTTATTAAAAGTAAAAAAATTTCTAGGTCTTTATAATTTATAATTTACTCGAAGTGTTCGGCCTTAGTGGAATTGTGATTAGGACAGAATGCACAAACATTTGACATTCTTATATACTTATATAAGAAATTATAATTTGGAAAAGTTTGCGTTCGAGTATATTTTCCATGACATATAATACAAAATTTTAAAATCCATCTAAATACCTCCGTTAGCCTTAATTATAAAAAAGATTGATATCTGATTTATTTTTGTATTCGTCACTTACACCATCATTAGAATACTGGGTTGATAGAAAGAGAAGTGTCTTTATAGGCTTCTGACGTATTAGGTAAGAAAAAGAGTAATTGAAAGAAGAGAGAGGAAAAGAGGTAGACCCCGAAGATCATGGAGAGATGAAGTGGACGAGGTCATGGAAAGACGAGACCTTAGAGATGGAGAATGGCAGAACAGGAAGGACTGGAGACGTTGGCCGAAAGAAGGAAGGCGGTGACAGCTGTAAAAATCCTTATATAGATAGAGATATTGCTTTCCTTCCGTTTCCTTAAGTGCTCCGGTATTATAAGCCTGCAATTTTGTTGGCAATACATACTACGACCTACCCCTACGAAGATTATACACGTGGACTTCTCCAAAAGATAACACCAACAATATAATCAGAAACCAAATAGATTTTATAACGATTAACAAAAGGTTTCGTAATGGAGTACAAAGTGCAAAAACCTATCCAAGCGCAGATGCAGATACGGACCATAATCTATTACTAGCAAACGTCAACATTAAACTCAGAAAACCGGAGAAAAAAGTTAAAACCACCAAAATTAACATCAAAAACCTAAAAGACGACAACTGCCAACAGCAACTAAACGCAGAGATAAATAAATTAACTGAAGGAAGCGTGAAATGGGCAGATATGAAAAAAGCCATACTAAAAGCGGGAAAAGAGGTCCTAGGCGAAGAAGAGAAAACACTAAAAAAGACTGGATGACACCGGAAATAGTTGAGCTAATAACTGAAAAAAGAAAATACAAAAATAAAGATGAAATAAATATAAAACCATCAAGAATAAAATCAAATATGAAATCAGAAAGGCTAAGGAGGAATGGATGAACAAGGAATGCCAGGAACTGGAAGAACTCAGCAACAAACATGACACCTCAAACTTACATAAAAAAATTAAAGAACTTACAGGCAACACCAGACAAAGAAGAACACTCATAACAAGAGATAATAATGGAGAAATACTTATGAAGAGAGCAAAATAAAGGAAGTATGGGAACAATATATAATCCATCTTTTCCATGACGAGAGAGAAAATGAACAAGATATAGGTGAAGAAAAACAATACCTACAAATTTTACCCTCAGAAGTAAAGAATGCCCTACAGAATGCAAAACAAGGAAAAGCACGGGTCCTGATCAAATTCCAGTTGAACTGTTAAAAGCCTTAGATGACGGTAATATAAAGAGACTCACCCGAATTCTCAACCACATATATGTAGAGGGCAACATCCCGGAAGAATGGCTTAAATCGATATTTTTACCTCTACCAAAAAACAACAATCCCAAATCATGTAATGACTATAGATTGATAAGCCTAATGTGCCACCCTTTAAAGATTCTCTTGAAAATTGTTCAAAACCGAATTTATAAGAAATGTGAGGAGCAGATAGATCAAACGCAGTTTGGCTTCAGAGGAGGCATGGGTACAAGAGAGGCATTATTTGCGTTGACGGTACTCTTGCAGAAATGTCGGGAATATAACAAGAGTGCATATGTATGCTTCATAGACTTTAGGAAGGCCTTTGACCGAGTGCAGCATATGAAGTTAATAGATGAATTAAAAAACATCAATTTAGACAAAAAAGACATTGAGTTTATTAAGGCTATATACTGGAACCAGAAAGCAGTAGTAAAGGTGAACGATATAGAAACAAATAATATACCGATTGCGAGAGGGGTCAGGCAAGGATGCGTCTTGTCTCCGACGCTTTTCAACGTGTACTCACAGGTCATATTCAGAAAAGCCTTATGGGAAAGAAAAGAGGGAATAAGAATTGGTGGAGAAATCGTAAACACCATGAGATTTGCAGATGACACGGTAATTATGGCTGAGAGTATAGAAGAACTACAAACTTTACTAGATGCAATAAATAGTGAATGCATTCAAATGGGACTTGACATCAACACAGATAAGACCAAATTTATGATAGTATCAAGGAGTCCAATAAATAATGAACAACTAACTCTTGGTGGACAGCAAATAGAGAGAGTGACAAAATATAAATATCTGGGAGCTTACATCAACACAGAATTAGATCCAGACCAAGAGATCAGGTACGAATAGAAATGGCAAGGGCAGCGTTCTTAAAATTCAAACAATTGTTCTGTGACAAAAATCTGAATATTGCGCTGAGACTGAGGTTTGTTGAATGTTACGTCTGGTCGCAATTATTGTACGGGGTAGAAACATGGACACTAAAAGCGCAAATAGTTAAAAAGATTGAAGCCTTTGAACTTTGGATATACCGGAGAATGTTGAGAATCCATGGACTGCCAGGGTCACCAATGAGGAAGTGCTGAGAAGAATGGGTCGAGTCAAAAAATTGTTGAGAACGATAAAAGTACGCAAGACTGCATACCTTGGACACATACTAAGAAATAATAAATATAGTCTTCTGCAGGTCATCATGCAGGGTAGAGTCGATGGCAAAAAGGGAATAGGTAGAAAGAGGAAGTCATGGCTGCGAAATATTCGAGACTGGACAAACATGACTGTAGACGAATTATTCCACGTTGCAAAAGACAGACAAGCTTTTAAAAAATGTGGTCGCCAACCTCGTTAATGGGGAC